TCCACCGCGTGGCCCGTTCTAGAGGCACTCAAAAGCACTTTGCGACTGCAACACGTGCGCGCATCAGTCAGCTTTGGCCTCCCATGATCCACTCGGGTAATGGTGATGTAACGCAACACACCATTTGCTCCAACAAGCGACTGACACCAAAGGCTCACTCTCACTCGGGCAGTAGAATCCCCTGTGCCGCTCTGAGTATACTCTCTGGCAGTGCATTTGACTCCGAACCCTAGTCTTACGCATAAACTCGAACCCCAATCCACTATTAAGCCTCCGTCCAGCGGCGGAACCCTAGCCTTTATCTTGGTGTCTTCCATCCAGAAATTACTTTAAAATCCATCTGAAGGTGCGTTTTACGAAAAATTAACGGACCGATTGGAGTGGCACTGTACCCCATGGACTAATCCTGCGGTTAGCCGGCTACAAAATCCAACCCGCTCTGGCGACAAAAAGTCGCTTGAAATCACAATATGCAGAGTCCCCCGATGGAGCGGTGGGCTCTCGGTGCTGTAAGTCAAATGCACCTAACTCTGACGACACAGCTGTTGAAAGCTCTTACTCCTAATCTTAACTCTTACGCTGCTCTCATGTCCTCGGAGTGTCTTCCTCTAAATCCAACCTTTAACCTACATATGACCGTTATCCGCATACAGCAGATGTGCTAACTCATTAAATGTTGGCCGAAATCCTGAAATGCGTTTTCGACTCAAAGAAGATTACTTAAATGGGGTTGTAATAATAATTAGGATGCAGCGTAACCCTACGTTAATCCAGTTACCTCGGGATGCCAGCTCCTGAACGAACCTCTTTCCGGCCGCCTGTAAAAACTAAAATCTGTAAAAGATGATTACTTGTGTTGTATGAATTTTTTCTGCAAGATTTTATTTCGTAGCCGCACCTGTTAGGGGTTAGTGTCAAACCCCCTATTACCAGCTGTCCCTTATTACAGGCGGCTAGGGCTTGTCTATTGCAGGTGCGACTGAGAAATAAAGTCCGACAAATTCTTTTCATTGATTTCCGATGCCCTTGTAAATTCAAATATATTTCATAGAAAACATGCACAAAAATATTCATTCTAAGTTCAGCGAATATTCCCATGTTACAATTGAAAAGTCAAATTGGCGAACACGTGTTTTCAGTAACTCTTCATCAGGCCAAAACGGTTACAATGAAGTTTAAGTTATGCGAATTACATGACTTATAGATGATTCGGGGACAATTAAC